GAGGACGGCGACCGAGGTCTTCCCGGCGGAGGCTTTTCGGCTTCGCAGCGGCAGCAGCGGCTGGCGCCAAAATCGGACTCCGCCCACTTCCTCGCCCCCGGGGGTGGGGTCCTCCAGACGCTGGGGGGCGCGGAGGGGGACGGGTGGCGCTCCCTACGAACGCCCGGGGGAACCTCTTTCTGGAAAGACGTTTCCCGATGCGAGGGGTCAGCCCAGAGACGTGGCCAGGGATAGCTCGGTGCAGCGACAACAACAATTTGTTGACTAGAAGTGGCTTCGGGTGTTTCCGGAAGGGGCCGAGTCAATCCTCCGCGGCGGGGGAGGGAAAACGAAAGGGGAGGCTACGAGGATTTTGATGGCGGGAGAACAGAGGAGATTATCAAAGGCGTAGCTGCAGGGACCACCTCCCAGGTTGAGGGGGCTGGACCTCAGGGCTGCGGGATTAAGCCCCGCCCTCCAGCGTTAATTTCAAACTGCGCGACCGTTTCTCACCTGCCCTGCGCTAAGGCGGGGGCTGCACCCAGTTCCGGGAGGGAGGGACGTGCAGGGCTCGAGCCTTCCGCAATTCTCGGAGCCCACATACGCAAGAGACGTTAAGCACTGCCGCTGGCCGCCAGGGGGGAGGAGTACGTACTTGGCGTAAGGAGGGGCGTAGCGCGTTCCCGCCAGTGGCGGCGGTTAGGGCGTTTACGTAACGGCCTGACGTAGGGGGAAGACGCATTAGTGGGGGAAGGTTCTAGAAAAGCGGCGGCAGCGGCTCTAGCGGCAGTAGCAGCGGCGCCGGGTCCCGTGTGGAGGTGCTCCTAGCGGTGTTGTTTCTCGAGCAGCGGCAGTTCTCACTACAGCGCCAGGACGAGTCCGGCTCGCGTTCGTCCGCGGAGATCTCTCTCATCTCGCTCGGCTGCGGGAAATCGGGCTGAAGCGACTGAGTCCGCGATGGAGGTAACGGGTTTGAAATCAATGAGTTATTGGAAAGGGCATGGCGAGGCCGTTGGCGCCTCAGAGGAAGCCGGCCAGCCGCCTCCGTGGGAGAGCGGCGGGGAATCGGGCCGCTGAGTAGCGGCTGCTCCGGGGGTGTTTGGCGGAGTCTCGCGTAGAGGCCTGGTCGGACTAGCAGCCTCCCCACCCTCGGCCTCCGGCGCCATTTCCCTGTCCTGGGGTGGGGGATGGGGAGCTTTCACATGGCGGACGCGGCCCCGCTTTGGTGAAAGTGGGACGAGGAGGCGGGAATTCTTATTCCCTTTTCCAAGCCGGCTGATTTGGGGCCCCCGGCGTCTCCGCGTCGGGCGTTTCGGCGGCGGCGGGTCCTCGTGAGGCGTCTGCGGAGCCTCCCCTCCCCCGCTCTCCCGGGAACCGGATTTGGCGGCCGCCATTTTCATGTCTCTCCTTTCTCGCAGCGTTTTTTCTTTTCGCGCGCTGAATTCTGCTAGTGGAATTTCTCTCCTGGAGCGTAGACGGGGCTAACGACTTTGTTTTCTTCCCGGGCTGCGTTCGTGCGTTTCGCGGTGGATTTGGAGCGGTTGGGGAGCGTGGATCTTAGCGTCCTGCGCACCTCGTTACGGGCGCCGAGCCTTCCCCTCGATGAAATGGCGCCATTGCGCGCAGGAGCCGCACGGCGGGCGGTGGGGGGGGCGGGCGGCCGGCGCGGGCTAGGAGAGGGTAGAGCCGCCAGGGCGCCGGGCAGCCCTCACGCCAGCTTCGGCACAAAGACGCCATTTCTGTTGCCAGTGCTCGCTGGAGTAACGGTTCTATCTGGGTCTGCAGTGACTGAAAGGGCAGTTGGAGCGCAGGGAATTGGACGCGAACAAATCGCCGGACCGTCCGATCAGTACCGACTCTGAAGGCGGCAGTGAGGATGAGGAAGGAGGGTTGGGGAGGGTTCGCTTCAGATTCCTTCACTGCCCTGGAGGACTGTTTGAGTTGTAGACTCAGCGTGTTTTAGTTAACACTTCCCTAGGAAGTTTAGTCTTTTCTGGGTAAGACCGTGGATCTCTGTGGAGGAGACGTGAGCAATTACGAGGAGAGGTAATTAGTGATTTTGTCCTTGGTGGTTGACTGAAACATGACTCGGTCCTTTAATGCGTGTATGTTTATGTGCAAACTGTTGCAGGCCTGGGCCTCTATGTTTGTGAGCTTTGTCACTTGCTTTTCTCATTTATGTTTGTAATCATGGTTGATCATTACATTGATAAACATAAGGTTTCAAGCAAAGGGGGTCTCCCTGGTTATTTTCTTTGACCCTAAGCACGTTTATAAAATAACTTTGTTTATAATCGATAGTGGACATCGGGTAAGTTTGGAAAAATTTAAGAGGTAAGTAATGAGTTTTTGCTTTCTGTTAGTGATTTGTAAGACTTGTAGATGTGCTTTATTTCTAATTTATTTGGACGTAGATCTACGTACTGAGGACATTTTAGAATAACGTTAGCTGGAAAATCAAAATCAACTGCCAAACTATTTTAAAAGGCTATTTGAGTGTCTCATAGGAGCTAGTAAGATAATTTTAGTTAAATTTTGATTTTCAGAAATCTGAAAACACTTAGCTGTGCAGGGAAAACATCTGAATTGGCTCTTAGAGCTGTTTTTTGAGCAGTTGGGAATATATGTATTGGAGGAAGAATCTCCAGAAACGTAGGGTGGGAGTAGTGATGCTGCTTGCTGGGAACAAAATAAGTCTTGCTTTCAGAATTACGATCGATCTTTTACCTTGCACCGTGCATTCATATCAGTTGGTACGAATGCCATGACCTATTCTATTTTAAGGGTTTTTTGAACTTTTCTTAAACCTGGTTCCCTTATAAGTCATTTAATTACTCGTTCTTCCATAACTGCTCAAAAAAAGGACTGTTTATGGCAGCATATTTGCTTGCTGGTTTGCAGATACTAAGAGATTTCAGCTCAGGCATTTTTCTTTTGACTTGTAAAATTTGAGGCTCACACTTGTGCAGTGTGTTTTGCCAGATGGCCACTAAGTTCCATAAACCTGAGCTTTCAATATAGTTGATGAGCTTCGGATGAATGTATTTTACTGTACATAATGGTTCTTAGCTAAATAATAGTTTAGATTGTTAATGGCACATGCATTCTCAGTATAGAAGTGCCCACCAATAATCATGCTAAACTTTTGAAGCTTCAGATGCTGCTCTACATTAAAACTAGTTTGTCTTTGTTACTGAAAGGTTACATCTTAAGATTAATTTTATATGTACCATTAATGTTTAATTTGTTAAATAATAAAAGTTGTTACGGGGAAAGTTGTATTTAAAAATTTTTGTTGTTGTTGAGAAACTTAGAATCCCCACAAGAGGGGGCAGTTAAGGGAAAATGTCAGGTTTTCAGAATCTGAATACTGAAATAAGTGGTAAACTTTGGGTCTTAAGGAACCAAGAGTTACTTTTTATATTTAAAAACTCCAGGCTGAGTAAGTTATCTTCTGTGTTTTGAGACTATAAGATTGAACAAAAATTTTGGTAAAAATTCTTAAGTAGCCTTCAATGACCGCGGGATGGATTTACTTTTCCTTAGAAAGTTATTAAAAATTAAATGATACATTTGTGCTTAAGATTATCAAATGTCAAGTAAACTTAGATCAAGCATTAGTGATATCGAAACTTGTGTAGTTCAGCTGAGGCAGTTTTTTTTTTGGTGTAACTCAACTAATATGCAGTTTAACATATGGTTTAAATTTGATGTAAGTTTTTTTTTTCCCCCCCAGAAAACTTTAGAAACTGTTCCTTTGGAGAGGAAAAAGGTACTCTGCCAGCAGGTCACCTCATCATATTTAAGAATTTAATTTCCAGCATACAAAAAGGAAATGTAAATAAAAATTGAAATGATGTTTTCCTTT